AATCTAATTGGTTGAGAGGAATCATTGCATCTACCACATCAGCCCCTGGTATCCCCAACCTGTAATAAATCAGATGTGTTGAGGTGGTGAATGAGAAGGACAGGCCATCAAGGACTCTTCTCACCATTTGCCTTGGTGACTGAGCAGATGATGGTGGCTCTGGGAATACAGGAAGGGGAGAGGTGTGGGAGCAGGGAGTAGGTTGGAAAGATGTTTTAGGCACGTGGGGCTTTGAGTGTCTTGGTAGCAATCCAGATGAAAATTGCCAGTAGGCAACTGGTTATGTGTGTTTGAAGTTCTGGAGAGATTAGTGTTTGAAGTTATTACATATTTTAATTAGTTGTCGAGGTCATCAATTTGGGCAAGATCACACATGAAAAGCATATACTACGTGAGAATAGTAAAGATCAAAGCTCTCAGCAATACAGATGCTTACAGTTCAACTAACACCAATTTAGACACTTAGAACATATTCTGTTCATGACTACAACCTCCAGGAAAGCCTGCCTTGAGTGTTATCACCATTTTTATTTACTGCTTTTTTCTTCCCTGAGGTTTTTTTGGGGTTTTTTTTGATACTGAGTTTCACTCACCCTGTCACCCAAGCTGTAGTGCAGTGGCGTGATGTCAGCTCACTGCAACCTCCACTTCTCAGGTTTCTGCAATTTTCATGCCTCACCCTCCCCACTAGCTGGGATTACAGGCATGTGCCACCACACCTGACTACTTTTTGTACTTTTAGTAGAGACATGGTTTCACCATGTTGGCCAGGATGGTCTCGAACTCCTGGCCTTATGTGATGCTCCCGCCTCAGCCTCCCAAAGTGCTGGGCTCACAGACCTGAACCACTGCACCCAGCCCTCCCTCGAGTGTTGCATGTTACTTGGCTCTTCTGCATTACAGCTTTTACATTGTTTAAAGAAAATTCACGACTTACACTTTTTTGACAGTAGACGTTACAAAATTCCACAAGATGATCATACCACTTAAGGTTCCCGCTGCTATCAAATTATATCCTTCTACTTGTAGTGAATCAATGCAGTTCACTTGTAATAAATTAATGGCAGGTTTCTGAAGAACGAAGGAAACAGAACATCATGAATACAGTATTCATGATTCACGGTACAAATGTCATGTGTACACTTCGTAATTGTCGTTAACTTAAAACAAAATGCCTTATTATATCTATTTTTAATCCCAGAGCATGAAATTTAGTAAAATCTAATTTTTCTTGCACTAAAATTTTTTAACTGGCAGAATTTATTAAAACAACAAAAACATCCTCTTCGTTTTTGCTGGCTTCTTTTTCTCAGCCTTATTTATTCTTCCCCACCACCTATTAGATTAACTTCCCGTCTTTCTCTTCCCTTCAAACTTTTTGAAAGAATATTTGTCGTTTCCCACTTACCAACTTTTCTTTCACTCAGCAATTTTCATTGGCTGCTGCTCCTAACACTCTGTGATAGCTTTTCCTATTTATCATTAAGGCACGTTTCAACTATCTTGCCTCAAATATTTGTTGGACATCTACTATGTTAGATTCTTGGAATACAAAGTCAAGTAGGACATCTGTGATCTGGAGAAACTAATAATACTTTAAAGTACTCAGATAAAGTGTTGATTAGGGTGCAGTGTGAAAGGGCTGTATCAGAGGGAGGCACACAGAAGACTTGAGGGCATGGAAGAGTGACATTTAAATAAGAAAAGAGGTTTATTACCACTGTTAATTACCACTCTCAGTTGCTCTCCCCTTTTTGAAATTTTTTACTCTCCTGATGTCCTTGACATCTGGCTTTGCTGTGTCTCTGTGACTTTTCTTTTTGTTTCCTACTTGGTACCCTCTTGCTCTGCCAGCCTTTTAAATATTAATATTCGTGGGGTTTATCTCAACTTCATTTGCTGTTTTTCTTTTTTTTCAAGTCTTTCTGAGGAATCTCAGATTATGTTTCAAATACCATCTCAATGGTCATGATCTAATTATCTAGTCCAGACCCCTCCCGCAAGCTTCAGGCTTATATATTTAATTACTTAGACATTTTACAGGTATCTCAATGGTAGTAATATCTTATCACTTTCCTTAAGCATGTTTCTTCACTCAGTACTTTTTCTTCTGAGACTGATTTCACTCTGTCGCCCAGACTAGATAGAGTACGGTAGAATGATCACAGCTCACTGTAGCGTCAACATCCTGGGCTCAAGTGATCCTCCCACCTTGGGCCCTGGAGTACATGGGACCACAGGTGGGTGCCACCATGCCCGGTTAATGTTTGCTTTTTGTAGAGACAAGGCTTCACTGTGTTGCCAGGGTGGTCTCGAACTCCTGAGCTCAAGTCATCCTCCTGCCTCAGCCTCCCAAAGTGCTGGGACTATTGGCATCAGCATGGTGCCCAGGCCCTCTTCTTTACTTCATTGGTTAGCACTGTTTTCCAATTCATCATTCAAGTTCGAAATCCTGGAGTTGTCCTTCTTTCCTTCCAGTATCCTCCTCTCCCAACTGCATGGTATCAATTGCTGCTTTTACTGCCTAGATATTTTCTGAAACCAAAACCTTTTCTTCTGCACCATCTCCATTGTCATCACCTTACATCTTTTATTATTTCTTAATTGTAAATTTGTTTAGAGACAGAATCTTGATCTGTCACTCAAGCTGGTCTGCAGTGGTACAATCGTAGCTCACTACAATCTTGAACTCCTGGGCTCAGGCAGTCCTCCCACCTTAGCCTCCCCAGTAGCTGTGACTAAAGGTGCACTGCACCACACCCAACTAATTTTCTTTAATTAAAATTTTTTTTTTGTAGAGACAGGGTCTATGTTGCCCAGGCTGGTCTCGAACTTTTGGCCTCAGGTGATCCTCCCACCTTGGCCTCCCACAGTGCTGAGATTACAGGTGTGAGCCACTAAATCTGGCCATCCTTAAATCTTTTAACTAAAACAGTAAGTAGCTTGTTGCCTGAATCTTCTGCCTCTAGTCTTGTCCCTTTCAAATATGTCATCCAAGCAGCATCAAAGATGAGCTGCCCACAACACAAACCTGATAGTTTCATTTCTAATTTAAAAGCCCTTCAGTGGCCTTCCATTTGTTACAGGACACTCAAGCTCCTTATTCTTCTAAGCATGGTCTGGTTCCTACCTATTTATATGTCTTCATTTTTTACTACTCCTGGTATTACTGCAGCCACACTGAGATACTTGCAGTTATCCTTCACAAACCATGCAATATTCTACCTCCATGATTCTGTTCGCATTACCTGCTCCAGTTGACATTCACAGTCTTTTCATTACCCTCTGGAAACTGCCTATCTGAGCCAAGCTAACTCCTTTAGCTATAATTCAGCAATTACCCTCTTCAAAAACCTCCCCCTCTCCCTAGCCCTCTAGGATCTCTGCTGTACTTTTATAGTGCAGATACTATACCTCATTAATCCTGACATTCCCAGTACTAAGAACAGTGCATGATACATGGCAGGTATTCAATAAAAGTGCTTCCTAAATAAAAGAGTTTTAGGGAGAGGATTTCCATGCACAATTCAATTTTTTTCCTAAGTGACTTTTGCAAACTCTTTTTGAGTCTCACTCTGTCGCCCAGGCTGGAGTGCAGTGGTACATCTTGGCTCACTGCAACCTCTGCCTTCCGGGTTCAAGCGATTCTCATGCCTCAGCCTCCGCAGTAGCTAGGATTACAGGCGTGCGCCACCGCACCCAGCTAACTTTTGTATTTTTAGTAGAGGTGGGGTTTTACTATGCCTATCAGGCTGGTCTCAAACTCCCGACCTCAAGTGATCCTCCCACCTCTGCCTCCCAAAGTGCTGGGATTACAGGCATGAGTCTCCATACCCGGCTGACTTTTTGCAAACTTTCAATCTATAATTTTAAAGTTTGTTGCAAAAAGGAAGTGCTATAATGATAATTATGTTAACTACAAAACATAAGTGTTCAAAATCGGAGATAATTTACATTTACATTAAAAGCCTAAAAGGCACTTTATTGTGCTTCAATAGTTTATTTTACAATTTATTGCAATAATTTTTCTCTTGTTTTTAGGCAATCATTTTTTATTACCCATGCAATTATTTGCTAACTGCTTGGCTCTGACTCACTATGCAGTTATCTTTCTGTTTTTATTAGCTATAAATAAGATGTCATATACCAAATACATATCATTGAACCTAGTGTTTCCAATGGCATATAGAATTGGAAAGGGAAGTAGGCTAGAATTATTCTATGAGGAGATGCATTTTGTTCTGCTTTTTGTGCACATTACCTGATAACATTATTATGACATAGTCACTGTACATATTGATTTCCAAGGGCATTTACCTAAGAATAAAATCTGCTTATTTAAACTAGCAGTGAATGAGATTCACATTGCAGGTTCAAACTGACATTTGTTTCAATATAAGGAAAACTAATACAGTATCTCTCCATTCTACGATAAAATAATAGTTTCCAAATTCCAGAAAAAAACAGCTATCTTATTCTTTTATCTTATTTTTTGCAAGGTGGTTTTATGGTTAATAATGATAAAAAAGGAAATAAATTATATTATGGTTGTTTTGCTAATGTCAGAGAGAAAAAAACTTAACACCCTCTTAAATTTCTTCTGCTATAACTTGCAATTTTCTCACATTCTTTAGCGTCTGACCACTTATCTCTTTATTATTATTTTTTTTAATTTTATTATTATTGTTTTAGAGACAGGGTCTCGCTATGTTGCCCAGGCTGGAGTGCAGTGGCTATTCACAGGCGTGATCCCACTACTAATCAGCACGGGAGTTTTGACCTGCTCTGTTTCCGACTTGGGCTGGCTCACTCCTCCTTAGGCAACCTGGTGGTGCCCTGCTCCCAGGAGATCACCATATTGATGCTGAACTTAGTGCGGACACCCGATCGGCATAGCACACTACAGCCCAGAACTCCTGGGCTCAAGCGATCCTCCCACCTCAGCCTCCAGAGTAGCTGGGACTACAGGCAGGTGCCACTGTGCCTGGCCACTTATCTCTTTAGAAGCTGAAAAGTACAAGTGGTTTGAGCTAATATTAGAGTAAATCAATAAAGTTAATAAAGATTCTCATTAAAAAAATTGGTTTAAATTTTTGTAGGAACAAAAAGGTACAGCTTTCTTATTTTCTATTCTTCAGCCTCACACATTTGCCCCAAAGACTTCATCCCTCAGACATGCACAGATGCGCCTGCCGTGTTGAGGAGGTGTAAGCATATCACAAAAATAGCTTTCTGAAGAGATTTTAAATTAAGTTGTTAAATCCAACATATACAGCTACTTAGGGAAAAAAAAAAGATTTCTTTCAAAATATTACTGTTCATTGACAATGCACCCAGGAGCTCTGATGGAGATGTACAAGATGGACATGGTTTTCATGCCGGTGGATACAACAGTCCTTCCGCAGTCCATGGATCAAGGGGCAATTTTGACTTTGAAGTCTAATATTTAAAAAACACATTTTGTAAGGCTACAGCTGCCATAGATAGTGATTCCTATGATGAATCTGGTCGGTCAAAGTAAATTGAAAACTTTCTGGAAAGAACTCACCATTCTAGATGCCATTAAGAACACTTGTGATTCATGGGAGGAGGTCAAAAGAGCAATGTGAACAGGAATTTGGAATAAGAGGATTCTAACCCTTAAAGATACTTGGAAGGGCTCAAGACTTCAGTGGAGGAAGTAACTGCAGATGTGGTAGAAATAGCAAGAGAACTAGAGTTAGAAGCAAAGCCTAGCTTGCTGCAACCTCATGATCAAACTTGAATGGATGAGGAATTGCTTCTTACGGATGAGCAAAGAAGGTGGTTTCTTGAGATGGAATACGCTCCTGGTGAAGATGCTGTGAACACTGCTGAAATGACAGCAAAGGTTACCTAAAAGGTTACCTAAACTTAGATGATTGGGGAGAGGCAGGATTTAAGAGAATTGATACCAATTTAGAAAGACATTTTACTGTGGGTAAAATGCTATCAAACAGCATCACATGCTACAGAGAAATCTTTCATGAAAGGAAAAGGCAATCCATGTGGCACATTTCATGGCTGTCTTATTTTTAAAAATTGCCACAGTCACCCCAGCCTTCAGCAACCACCTCCCTGATCAGTCAGTGGCTATCGACTTTGAGTCAAGACCCTCCACCAGCAAAAAATTAGGACTTCCTGAAGGCTTAGATGATCATTAGCAATTTTTAGCAATAAAGTATTTTAAAGTATATACATTTTTTAGGCATAACACTATTGCATACATAATAGACTACAGTACAGTGTAAATATAACTTTTTTTTTTGAGACAGAGTCTCACTCTGTCACCCATGGTGGAGTGCAATGGTGCGATCTGGGCTCACTGCAACCTCCATCTCCCAGGTTCAAGTGATTCTCCTGCCTCAGTCTTCCAAGTAGCTGGAATTACAGGCACGTGCCACCATGCCCAGCTAATTTTTGTATTTTTAGTAGAGATGGGTTTCACCATGTTGGCTAGGCTCATCTCAAACTCCTGACCTCAAGAGATCCACCTGCCTCAGCCTCCCAAACTGCTAGGATTACAGGCATGAGCCACTGTGTCCAGGCTAAATGTAACTTTTACATATGTACTAGGAAACCAAAAATTTCTTGCTTTGTGACATTTGCTTTATTGTCATGGTCTGGAACTGAACCCTCAATATCTCCCAGGTGTGCCTGCTGTTATTAACATTTCTTGCTCACAAACACTTCAAGAATTTTCAAAAAGAAAGAAAGCTACGATGGAATACTACTCAAGCATAAAAGCGAGTGAGCTGCTGATTTATGCAGCAACACAGGCAAATCTCAAAAGCATCATGCTAAATGAACCAAACCTTAAATGTCTACTATATTATTCTACTTGTGTGGCATTCTAGGGTAGGAAAAAACAAATGTTTGGTGAAAAACATTAGAACAGTGTTTGCCTTTGGGTAAAGAGCAGATATTGAATAGGCAGGGACATGAAGAAAGTTTCTGGGGTGATGATGAAGTTCTTTATCTTGATAGGGGTTCTGGTTGTTTATGTTCCTCTTCAAACTCATGGAATAGCAGCTTCAATTTTGTGCATTTTATTTGATATATATTTCGCTAAAAACAAAATCATAAACAGTGAACTCTAGTTAATCATGCACACACAGACGTGTTTAGGGGTGATATGTATCAATGCCTTCGGCATACTTTGAAATATATTTTAAAAATAAGATGGATATAAGGGTGAGCAGAAGATGGACTGATGAATAAATATATGATAAAGTAAGGACTGCAAACTGTTAATAGTAAAATTTAAATGGATGAATATATGGGTGCTCACTCTAATTTTTTCAACTTTTCTAATGTCTAGAAATTTTCATATTAAATGTTGAGAAAGAAAAAGCTGTGAACCTTGCACTTTTCAGAAAAAAAAAGTGCATGCAATTTCAGAGCGCCAAAGTCTACACATGATCAGAGAGCCAATGGGTTGCAGGCTAAAAATTCTGGGTCTATAACTTTTTTTTTTTATTGTAATAAGACTTTCATATTAAGGAATGCTGCATCATGATAACTATCTTTTTTTAATACTTTAAGTTCTGGGCTACATGTGCAGAACATGCAGGTTTGTTACATAGGTATACACACGCCATGGTGGTTTGCTGCATCCATCAACCCATCATCAACATTAGATATTTCTCCTAATGCTATTCCTCCATTATCCATCCCCCCACCCCCTGCTATCCCTTCCCCCACCCCTATCCCCCCACCCCACAACAGGCACCTGTGAGTGATGTTCCCCTCCCTGTGTTCTCATTGCTCAACATCCACTTATGTGTGAGAACATGCGGTATTTGGTTTTCCGTTCTTGTCAGCTTGCTGAAAATGATGGTTTCCAGCTCTCTCGATCAGATCTTTGAAATCCCTGTGCAGGTGGTCCTGGTGTTCATTGATATGATTGGCCATTCTTATTAAAAAACTCTCAGGGCAGCCCAGGCTGAGGGATGGAGTTTCCAAGTCAGGAATGAACTGCTGTTGGGCGCACACGGATAACTCATGATCATAACCGAAGGCTACCAAGACTTTGTGAAGCTCACTTAACTGGCTCAGGTAAGGGGCAAACTTTCCTGGTGGTCTATCCAGCGAGCACTTTCTCTGGACTTCCAACTCCTGGATACTGTCTGGGTATATCATTTCCACTAATTTTCTGAATTGTAAAGCGGGCATTGGGTAATTCTGCACCTTACGACAACACAGCTGTACTAAACCTCTTCTGTGGTGAATCCAGTCACAGAGGTGGCTCAGCCACTCATCCAGGGTACTCTCCTTGAGGCCGACATCTATGAACACCTTCAAGGGCTCATGTATGAACATTGTCAACAGCTTACGCTCTCCCGTCCTTGGACGGTCCTCCACTGTCTGCCTCTTACTCGTGGCCTCTGGGGAGCACGACAGGGCCCTGGGTCCAGACCACGTGGTCCAGAAATTCTCATCAACATTCCCCAAATCAAGCACTTGAAGTTTCCACCTCCTGGGGCGAACCTGCATGTACACCAGTGAATCAAGTCCCTCCAGCACAGCTCGCAAGGTCTCCAGGTGAGGTGTCTTCATCAGGGACCCCAGAGGGAGGCGGGGGAAGGGCCAGGTCCACACCATGGCCTATAGAATCTCATAGTGCCTGCTGCTGAAGGCCTCCATAAGCATCAGGGGGAAGAGTTCCCCTGGCAGCTCATCCAGAGTGGAGGTGTTCAAGCACGGGTCTCTCAGCAGACTCTGCGCTGCTAGCTCCTCGAGTCTGCGTGGGGCCTGCAGGCTCGTTCTGATACATTTTGTAGTGTGCTCAGACCTCTTGGAGAATAAGACAGTAACTTCAGGCACCACTGCTCTGGGTCTCTTCTGCGGCTGCTCACGAGCTTTCTTCGAGTCTATAACTTTTGAAGCTCTATCACTAAGAACTTGTCAGGAGACAAGTATTTTAATATTCATTTACTATGAGAAATTAAAGCTGGCTATTTTAAGACTCCTTACAATTTTGGAATTCAGAGAATATCCTGAAAAAAATGATCTGATGACATACTCTCCTTATTTAGATGTTAAAATAACAGTAAAAATCAGCTACAACAAAACAGGTGCCTTTACAGTTGACCAAGTGATGTTGCTAGAGCAAGATGAGAAGCTTGAAAAAAATAAGCCTATAAAAAGGGAAAGCTGAAATTTTATTAACCGACAATGAAAAATTTAGTTAAAATCATATGATGTAATAATGATAAAATTAGTAATTCGCTAGAAAAAGTGACCAACCATTTTGTGATGTTTTGATACGGTGTCAAACTTACCCTTCTTAAAATCTCAGAGAATTTAAAAAACCTACCTATTCTTAGAGAGTTGAATTATTTTTAGATAGATAGATGTGCTATTTTTAGATAGGTGAATGGATTACCTGGAAGAAGACTGAAGAAGACTTATGATTATTTCCAAGAAGTAGTTCCTGATAACCAGAAACCACAGCTACACCCAGCTTCCCAGAACTTAGCATTGCCATGGAAAAGAAGGACATGCACAAAATGAAAACACTAATAAGAAACTGGAACAAATATTTAGAACTTATATCACCAAGGACTAGTATCCACAATATATCTTCCTAATTATTTGTATATAAAAAAATATATATTTCCAATGTATCCAATATACAAAAAGCATTTAAAATATTAGAAGGAAAAGAAGAACAATTATAGAAAAATTGACAAAATATATGAACAAATAATCCATATGTGTATTAGCAAGATGTTCCACTCACTCATTATAAGATAAATGCAAATTAAAGTATACCAAATTATATTTTAACAAGAAGGGTAAGTTTGTGGCTGTATTAAAAGGTCACAGAATGATTTTCATTTTTTTCTGGCCAATTATTATTTCACTATTTTTACATCACTTAATTTTAACTAAAATTTTCAATGACAGTTAATGAAATTCCAGCTTTCTCTTTTCATAAGTTTTTATCTTTTTAAAAAACTCATTTTGTTTTCATGGAATCCCTTGTTCAAGTATAAAGGCACTTGTTTTGATTTCTCATCTAGATTTGAAAAAGCTCAAACGTTTGACTCTAATATACAGTGTTGGCAAGGCTGTGGGCAAATAGGCAGTCTCACGTATTAGTGGCAAGGCAGAGTTGTGTAACTTCTGTGCAGGGGACTTTGGTAATGTCTAGGAGGACTATATTAGCATTTACTTTTTGACCCAGCAATCTGATCTCTCTTCTGGGAATTTATTCCAAATCTATCCCACTGTGTATAGTTAGTTTTCCAGTTGTGTTGGCTTCCAACTATATATATATATATATATAGTTAATGCATGTATATATACACACACATACATACACACATATATATACATACATACATATATATACATATATATGTGTGTATATATTTGTATTACCAAGATCCATACATGTATTAGCAAGATGTTCCACTCACTCATTATAAGATAAATGCAAATTAAAGTATATATATATAGTTAAAGTATATATATTTTTTAATTTGTATTTATCTTAGAATGAATTTAACTATATACATACACTTTAATTTGCATGTACCTTATAATGAGTGGAGCAAATTAAAGTATATATATATAGTTAAAGTATATATATTTTTTAATTTGTATTTATCTTAGAATGAATTTAACTATATACATACACTTTAATTTGCATGTACCTTATAATGAGTGGAGCAAATTAAAGTATATATATTGAATTAAAGTATAAATATATATACTTTAATTTGCATTTGTCTTATAATGAGTGAGTGGAGCATCTTGCTAATACTTGTATGGACTATTTGTTCATATCTTTTGTTCATTTTTCTATCTAGATTGCTCTTCTTTTCCTTCTAATGTTTTAAAAGCTTTTTGCACATTAGATACCTTAGAAATATGTATATATATATGTATATATAAATAATTAGGAAGATATATTATGGATATTAGCCCTTTGTGATATAAGTTCCACATATTTTTTCCAGTTTCTTGTTAGTGTTTTCATTTTGTGTATGTCCTTTTTTGCCATTGCAATGCTAAGTTCTGGGAAGCTGGGTGTAGCTGCGGTTTCTGGTTATCAGGAACCACTTCTTGGAAATAATCATAAGTCACATACACACACAGACACACACACACACATACATGGCTATTTGTTGCAGCAGTACTTTTAATTGGAAAAGATTAAAAACAACCTGAATGCCTGCCTACAGGGGACTAGTTGAATAAACAATGGTACGTTCATCCACATGAAGTACTATAGCATTTTCAGAAAGAAAAATGAAATACGTGTACACCCATGTTCATGGCAGCATTGTTATTAACAGCAAAAAAGTGAAAGCAACCCAACTATTCATTGACGGAGGAATGGGTGAGCAACATGTGTTCTCTGCATACATCGGAATAATGTTCAGCCTTTAAAAGGAAGGACACTGTGACATACGCTACACATAGATGAACCTTGAGGACATCACGCTTGAGTGAAACAAAGCAGTCGCAGAGGACAAATACCATGTGTTTCTGCTTATATAAGATACCCAGTGTAAGTTAATTTATAGGGATGGAAAGTAGAATGGTGGTTGTCAGGAGCTGGAGGGAAGAGGAAATAGGGAGTTATTATTTAATAAATAGAGTTTTAGGCCTGGTGCGGTGGCTCATGCCTGTAATCTCAGCACTTTGGGAGGCCAAGGCAAGCGGATGACAAGATCAAGAGATCAAGACCATCCTGGCCAACATAGTGAAATCCTGTCTCTACTGAAAATACAAAAATTAGCTGGGCATGGTGGCGAGTGCCTGTAGTCCCAGCTACTCGGGCGGCTGAGGCAGGAGAATCGATTGAACCTGGGAGGCGGAGGTTGCAGTGAGCCAGGATCAAGCTACTGCTCTCCAGCCCAGGCAACAAGAGCAAGACTCTGTCTCAAAAAATAAATAAATAAATAGAGTTTCAGTTTTGCAAGAAGAAAGAGTCTGGAGATGAATGGTGATGAAGGTTGCACAACAATGTGAAAATTATGTTGCTAACTGTACACCTAAAAATAGTCTAAATGTGTAATTTTAGACTATTTTTAGTCTAAATTACTTTATGTGTATTTTACCACAAATTTTAAAAAGCAAAGATGAAGATCTCTATATTCTGCTTAGATTGGTCTCCAGAATAGATTATTAAACAAAGCAAGGAGTACGAGGATGTATATAGTAGTCTATCATTTGCTTAAGAAGGTGGAGAGGGGACTGAATATTTGATTACATTTTTGAAAACATCATAGAAACACAAGCCAAAAACTTAAAAACAAAAGTTACTATAGGTTAAGGAGAGAACAAGGTGGAAAGGACAGGAATACAATAGACTTTGTTTTGTATCTCAGAATAGAACTTGTTTTTAAATTTGATCTTTGAAGTATTTAAATGTTTTACATAACATTAAAAAAACTGGATTTTAAAAACGCAAGACACTTTAAAAATGAAGCAAACTTAACTGTGTATAGAGTTGGTGGTACAGGAAATTATTTTAAGTAATTTTACAGTAATCTGACAGTACATTCCACATGCTATACACCCTAAGGACAAAAAGAACTGCAAAAAAAGCAGGATTTTGAGCTTTGCCAGGTATCCTGCTCCTAGAAATTTTATTGTTTTCTGAAACTAGAATATAATATAATGTACAATGATAGCATGTAAAATGACATAAAAACCTGTATATTATGTAGAAAAACACATTACGTAAATAATAGCATGAAGCAAATAAGAAAAGATGCTTACACCATTAGGAATCAAAGTTTTCTGAGAGAAAGATATAAAATAAAATTAGTGAAAGCCATGTAACCTTAAATTTGATTTGGGAATACCAGTGCAAAATAGTAGTGCATTTTCTCTTAAAAAAAAATCCACTAGTGGTGGTCATGGTGAAGAGGCGGGAATAAAGAATAAGTTTGGCCAAACACAGAAAGTTTTTGAAGCTAAGTGATAACACATAGAAGCTCTTTGTATTATTTTCTATACTTTATATATGTTTGCAACTTTCCACAACAAAAATCAAAAGTTAGAAAGAAATCAAGAGAGGAAACTTACATGAGTAGGTTGAGAAAATTTTCTCTCAACTATTAACTCGACATCTGGGAAAGGAAGAGCCATGTTCCTATCTCTAGTAGACGTTCTCAGATGCACAGCAGGTTTTCCATCTTGTAGGAAAGGGACAACATCAGGCAGCTCCCAGACCACCATCAGGTAAATATCATCTTCCTTACCCTTTAATAGAAATCCAGTGAGTATATGAAAAGTTCAGCTAATTACTTTATTTTGAACTGTTTTAAAGAGAGAGAAAATAAACCTACACTGATGTATCCACCGTCTAGCTGTACTAAATTTTCAGCCCCATCTATTCCTTGCTAATATAATTCTTCTTTCTTCTTCCCTCCCCAGAGTAACCAGTAATGTGAATATGATGTTAGTAATGAAAGTTTTAATATTTCTCCATATACATACATATACATTCTACATGTATATGATAGTGCTTTCAGACTTTAAGCCATTTTATAAATGCTGTCCAACTGTATGGATTCTTCTTCAACTTTCTTATTTCACTCAATAGGATGTTTTTGAGATTTATACAAGTTATTTAATGGAACTCCAGTTCATTTATTTTTAACTGCTTTATCATATTATATAAACATACTACAATTTATTTATCCATTACCCCATAGATGGATGTTCGGGATGTCAATTTTGTATTGCTTTCCTTTACAGACAGGCAGCACAGTTTCTAGAGTATATGTCTGGAGTAAAATGACCTAACTATAAGATATACACATCTTCAACCTTACTACTATCACCAATCGACTTCTCTAGGTAGTGTTTAGCTATGTTCACTCTCACCAGGAGTAGATGAGAGTTCCCCTTTCTTCGTATTCTTGCCGATACTTGGAATTATTTGATTTTTTAAAATTGTTTTGCGTGATGAGTGTGAAATGGGACACTTTAAAACTAATTTTTAATACCCTTTCAAATAGGAAGAGAGGAAGTCAAATTGTCTCTGTTTGCAGTTGACATGATTGTATGCTTAGAAAATCCCATCTTCTCAGCCCAAAATCTCGTTAAGCTGATAAGTAATTTCAGCAAAGTCTCAGGATAGAAAATCAATGTGCAAAAATCACAAGCATTCCTATACACCAATAACAGACAAGCAGAGAGCCAAATCATAGTGAATTCCCATTCACAATTGCTACAAAGAGAATGAAATACCTAGGAATACAACTTAGAAGGGATGTGAAGGACTTCTTCAAGGAGAACTATGAACCACTGCTCAAGGAACTAAGAGATGACACAAACGAATGGAAAAACATTCCATGTTCATGGATAGAAAAAAATCAATATCATGAAAATGGCCATACTATCCAAAGTAATTTATAGATTCAATGCTGTCCCCATCAAGCTACCATTGCCTTTCTTCACAGAATTAGAAAAAAAACTACTTTAGATATCATATGGAATCAAAAAAGAGCCCTTATATTCAAGACAATCCATAGCAAAAAGAACAAAGCTGGAGGCATCATGCTACCTGACTTCAAACTATATTACAGGGCTACAGTAACCAAAACAGCATGGTACCAGTACCAAAACAGAAATATAGACCAATGGAACAGAGCAGAAGCCTCAGAAGTAAAGTCACACATCTACAACCATCTGATCTTTGACAAACCTGACAAAAACAAGCAATGGGGAAAGGATTCCCTCTTTAATAAATTGTGCTGGGAAAACTGGCTGGTCATATGCAGAAAACTGAAACTGGACCCCTTCTTTACACTTTATACAAAAATTAACTCAAGATGGATTAAAGACTTAAATGAAGACCTGAAACCATAAAAACCTGAGAAGAAAACCTAGGCAATACCATTCAGGTCATAGGCTTCATGACTACAACACCAAAAGCAATGTCAACAAAAGTGAAAATTAACAAATAGGATCTAATTAAACTAAAGAACTTCTGCACAGCAAAAGGAAGTATCATTGGAGTGAACAATGAATCTACATGGAACTTAAACAAATTACAAGAAGAAAACAACCCCATCAAATAGTGGGCAAAGGATATGAACAGACACTTCTCAAAAGAAGACATTTATGCAGCTAACATATGAAAAAAATCTCATCGTCACTGGTCATTGGAGGAATACAAATCAAAACCACAATGAGATACCATCTCATGCCGGTTAGAATGATGATCTTTAAAAAGTCAGGAAACAACAGATGCTGGAGAGGATGTGGAGAAATAGGAACGTTTTTAAACTGTTTGTGGGAATGTAAATTAGTTCAACCATTGTGGAAGACAGTGTGGTAATTCCTCAAGGATCTACAACCAGAAATAACATTTGACCCAGCAATCCCATTACTGGGTGTATACCCAAAGGATTATAAATCATTCTA